CGTTAAACGGGGCGCTCGTTAAACGAGGCACCACTGTATGTTTAACCCACCTTTCTCCTTGAAAAGGGCCCAAGGTGGTTTACAACATTGAAAGATAATATTTAAAGCTCAAAACTATAAGTATGCAACAGTGGTTTGCCTCATTAAAAGACAAATTTTAAAGCTAAGAATGAGTATAAAAAGGCAGCTTAGATAATTAAAAGGCAATATTGAAGCTAAGAACAGTAAGTATGCAAATATTAAAAATAAAAATAAAACAGAATTGAACCCTGAGAAAAGGAAACCACAAAAATGGAAAACACAAGGAGTACTAAAAACCCAGTCAAAGCAGTAATACATAATAATCCATCTAAAAGCCACACAAAAGTAACTAGTTACTGAGGGAAGTCTTGCCTGAAGAAAAATGTCTGCCTGCTTGTGGGAGAACAGCAAAGTTGGGGCCAATCTGGCCTCCTGTGGGAGGGAGTTCCAAAGTCTGGAAGAAGCCACAGAGAAGACCCTTTCCTGTGTCCCCATCAGACACACATGTGAATGTGCGGGACCAAGAGAAATGGATTTATGAGTTGTTCAGCACTTATGAGGCAAGGTGGATATTACTGAGGTAATGTTTTGATAATTGCCATTTCTTATTTTTCAAACAGGCACTGGGTTTTCAAAGAATGCTTAAAAAGGTTTAAAAGTCCAATTTTTAAGTCAGAGAGGAAAACTATTGCTTTATCATTGCTGTCTATAATAATGAACAGTATTATTAATTAACAATGCTAAATTTTTAAAAAGAGTATATTAAAAAGTGAATGCCATTAACTTTGAGATGTTATTGTTTAATATTCATACATTTCAAAACAAACAGTAGATCCCAGCTGTGACTGAAAACAACAGAGCAGTAATTATGTTGCAAGATATGTAAAGATTTAATGGGTAACGATTTTAAGCTCTCTCTTTTATCTCTCTTTTTCCTTTGTATTAGTGTTGTGACTGTCTTATAAATTCAGTCTGGGTTATATTCAATGTCTTTTGCTGATCATGGACCATGATAACAATAATAAACTGAACTGAACTGCCTCATACATGGAGAACAGTAGGGCACAGCCAGGAGTGAGAAGGGAACGTTGTTCAAGCTTACTGTTCTGTTTTCCTTTTCAGTGTCTATATTAGAGATGGGTGCAAAGCTAACAATGAACTAGGAAGTTCACTGAATATCACCAATTTATTGATTCAGATCAATTCAGGTTTGTCCAAACTGGTGAACCCAAACTGACCTGAACCACAATATAGATTTATATTTAGAGATTTCTGGACTTCCTGGTTCATTGTCTCCCCCTGTCCCCTCAGCCTGCCTCCTGCCCCCTTCCCACTGCTTTTGTTGCCTCCCTATCTTGCCTTCCACTACAGTCACCATTGCAGCTGCCATCTTTAGAAACAGCAGCCC